GGGGCGACCCAAACTGGAACATGTTTATGGAGCTTTGGGCATGGACCACTTATCACTTCTTTCCCGTTCCAGTATCAGGACTACCTACAGTAAAAGTTACCATATTAAAAAACCACACACACTAGCTTCCCTGGGTATATCCACATTTTACTTGCATTTATCTTTCCATTACACAATGTCATTAACTTAAGCATATACTATCCCTTCACCCAGATTTATGAAATACCAACTTTTGCATTAATAACTTAATATATTAAATAGAATCTAGTTGGTATAGGATTTTCATACTGCTACCTGGAGAGAGAAAGAGAAACTCCCTAATAAGAGCAAAGGATGAGAGTCTAGAGACAAAAGCCAACTGCAAGCTGAACCTGTAATCTAGAAAGTATATGAGGCTGGAAATGGAAAGCCAATTGGCAGGTTAGTGATTCTCAAGTGGCTCTCTTCAGACAGAGAGACTTGCTTGACATTTTATAGGGTTTTATATGAATTAAACAGTGAACGTAACATTTTTTCATGTAATAACTCTATGAATAGGTACTGTTAAACCTATTCTACAAATCAGAAAGAGAAATCCAAAGACTGTAAAAGAACCTGCACATGAATATAGGCGACTGAGCTGAAAATCAAATGCAGGTAATGAGTCACCAGACTCAATACTAGTCCAGGTTCTCACAATGAAATTGTGAAACACAGATACAAGACAAACTGATTAACGATATAATAAAAGTGTAAATAGTGTTCGACAGACTTAGAGATGTGGTTACACCTGCTAGACGCTTTCATACTCAGCACAAAGTCAATACTCCGATACTAGTTTAATTAGCAAAAAGCGTCTAATACTTAGATACACAAGCCGTATCAGTAACTGCACATGTGAAAATCCAGAATGCCAGAGAACTGGCATTGAATTTCATCTGAACTTAAAACCTGTCACCTTATTCAGCTAACAGGATTTGATCTCTTGCAATCTTTCAAAGCAAGAATGGGTAAAGTATCTGCAAACATGCAAAGAGAGGAATTACAAACACAGGACTTTCTTTAGAGAACTCATAAAATACTAAAAAGAAGGGGGCCTGCAAAAAGATCTTGTGCCCCAGGTTTCCCTGGTGGCACAAGAAGTTAGGTACTTTGAAGCTATCTGCAGCCACTGCAATAAGAAGTTTGATCCCTGGCCAGGGAGCCAAGCCCCGTGGAACAGCAGACCTCTCCTATCTCCCCCACGACCCCCCTCAGCAGTGCATTTCAACAGATCCCCCAGTTTTGCTCCCCATTCTGTCTGTGGTGAAGCCTCTCACCCTTCCCCCACACCTGTGGTCTACACCCCAGCTCTTGTATAAATAATCTTTTTTTAGAAAAGATCTAAAAGTAAGTAAAACTAGAATTTTAAGAGATTTTTCAAAAGCCATTAAAACTGAATATAAGGAGTCAACAATAGCTTCTGCCTTTTAACATGGAAAGAAAAAGGCATTTTTAAAATGATAAATTTAAAGTGCATGCTCATTATCAGGAAAATGCAAATCAAAACCACTTCACACTTATAAGAATGGCCCCTATCAAAAAGAGAACAGGCAGTGTTGATTAGGGTGTAGAAAAAAAGGAAGCTTCATACACTAATTGTGGTCCAGCCCTGTGAAAACAATATGGAAGTTTCCCAAGATATTAAAAATAAGATCTACCAGATGATCCAGCAAAATCACAGGTTTCTATATGAAGCATGCAAAGACACTTGAGTTGATAAATATAGGCATTCCTGTGTCTACTACTGCAGTATTTACAACAGTCAAGTAATAGAAATAACCTGAGTGTTCAACAAAACATGACTAGATAAAGATGTGGTATCTGTACACAATGCAGTATTATTAGCCATAAAAAAAGATGAGATGGTATTGCCAATACATGGATGGCACCGAAGGGATTATGCTAAGCAAAGTAAGTTGAGGAGAAAGAAATACTAGATGATTTCACTCACATGTGGAATATTAAAAATAAAAAATGCAATAGATAAAACTGAACCAAAACAAATCTTTGGAATCTGCCTGCAAAACTGACACTACCCAAAGAGGTGAGGAGGGCAGGAGCAAGCTGGGGAAGTGGCCCAAAGAATTATGGAGTTAAGACTTTGGTGATGAGCATAATGTAGTGCTAAATGTATGTGATGACATAGATTTGAAGAAGAACCTATGCCCTGAAACACATAATCAAAAAGCATTTAAGTTGTATATAACATCTGGGAAATGGAGGTTGGTCTATAAGAGTACTATCACATTAATGTTAAAAAGTTAGGAATGGATGAGCTGCAATCAAGAAAACTACCACCAAAATACTTAAAACTACCACCAGAACTAGACAACAAGATCTCTACCTTATTTACTATTATGTTTCCTGTGACCTCAGAGAAATCTGCAGTAGCCTTGGTTAAAAATGACTAAAATCTAGTCTACTGAAAAGAACTTTAAAACTCAGCAGAACAGGGCCCTCCCTGGTGGTGCAGCTGGGTAAAGCACAGCACTAAGAAGCTAAAGCCACTTCAGCATGACTTCCATCCTGGCCCCAGAGGTGACCCACATGGTGTGGCAGACCTCTCCTAACCCGCCCGCTGCTCCCCTCAGCCGTGTACTTCATCAGTCACACTGTTCTGCTCCCCACTCTGTCTCGGGGTATATCCTCTCATTGCACCTGCACCTCTGGCCTGTACCTCAGTTCTGTATGCATAAGTAAATAAATCTTAAAAAAAAAAAAAAAAAACTCAGCAGAACAGAATAAGAAGCTACATAGGTATAGAATGATCACATAATCCTTGTCATATTAACTCACCTCTATGTTAAAATAACATGGATGCGGCCCTCCCTGGTGGCGTGGCGGGTTAAAGCACAGCACTGAGAATCTAAAGCCGCTTCTGCATGAGTTCGATTCTCGCCTGCCCCGGAGGTGACCACATGGCGTGGCAGACCTCTCCTGACCCGCCCACTGCTCCCCTCAGCAGTGTACTTCGTCGATCTGCCTGTTCTGTTCCCCACTCTGTCTCTGGTGAAGCCTCTCACCGCCACTGAGCCTCTGGCCTGTACCCCAGTTCTGTATGCACAAATAAATAAATCTTTAAAAAAAAAAAAATAACATGGATGCATTCTCCAAGTATATATATATATGTATAGGCATCATCTAGGTATATTAATACATCAGAGTATTGTAAATGCCCTTAAGTTTATGCCACCAATTACACAGATTGCAAATGTATTCTTAAATAGAGTTCTTTAATTTTCACTGAGGAAGGCACTCATGTTACTTTAGGAGACAGCAGAGAATGCAACTGTAGTCTTATAAACTCCCACTAGAAAAACCTCCTAGGATGCTGTTTATTTCTTCCTTCTAAAAGCTAGAGCAGAAAGCAAGGTCCAACTACTGTAAGACTTAGTTGCTAATAGACCCTCAGAGTTTACTCTTTTAACTAATCAGTTTCGGTTAACATTTAGCATTAGAATCTCCAAATCTGCTAGTGTCCAGAGCAAGCTGAGGTCTGTATGAGTCACACTAGGGAGGTACAGACAATCTGAGAGAAAGTAAAATCTTAAATCTGGCACAGATTTAAGGGCACAATTCAGACATTAAATGCCTGGTAAATAACACCTATTTATTCAGTGATGAAATTACACATAAAAGTACAAAATAGGTAAGAAAGCTGAGGGCACCTGTCAAGCTGCTTACTTTGGTTCACTTACGTATGCAAAATAAGTTTTACTTTTAATCACAACTACAAGATAGTCACATGAAATATCAGCATTATAAATACGTTCAGATAAAGGCTATCACGTGCAATATTGACTTGTATTTTGAAATTATTATAAAACTACACTTTAGGCAGAAAATGCCACTATACCAGTAGCAGCCAGAAGTTTGAGGCACTGTTCCCTCCCAATATCTGACAAACACCAATGGAAAACAAGTGACTTCCAGAAAACAAGTGACTTCCGAAAACCTTACTTGGAATTAACATTAAAACTGAAGTTTCAGGGCTCTCCCTGGTGGAGCAACGAGTTAAAGCACAGCACTAAGAAACCATAGTAGCCACTGCAGCACTAGTTCCATCCCTGGCCAGGGAGCTGACCCACATGGTGTGGCAGACCTCTCCTGATCGGCCCACTGCTCCCCTCAGCAGTGAGTTTCAATCTGCCTGTTGTGCTCCCCACTCTGTCTCTGGTGCATCCTTTCACCCCTGACTCTTTGGCCTGCACCCTAGTCCCATATGTATAAACAAACCTTAAAAAAATAACTGAAGTTTCACTGAAAAACAGTAATGAAACTTAGTAATTAATGTGAGTGATCGAAAGTAAATAAAAGTTTCCCAGGTACACTCAATCTTACATATGGAATTCAAAGACTGGTAGAAGTGAATTTTTAATGAGAAGTGACTGTTTCCAAAGTTACTCCTTGTGAATGTGAAGGGAAATAAGTAAACAACACTTTCACTGTTATTTCCACTAGGCATTCGTTACAGATGGCAAATAATTAGTAATTGTTTGAAGACACCCACGCCTTTTAACTACAATGATACTTGACCTTAACTTAAAACATGAAACCAATCCCAACTATTTCTAAACTTTCCAATTTGAATTTATGGATTGAAAAGAAAAAGACACCCCCCCCACACACACACACATACACCCCCGCACCACACTACTCAACACTGAGTTTTAGAAAAATAACTCTGATCTCTGATAAACCATTCCAGACCTAGGAAGTCAAATACTTTTAAAATCCCGTAAAACATTCTAACATCCGAGTTCTGGCTCCATCGAGTAAGGACCTCAAAGATCGAATGTTTTTGCCTCCTTTGCTCTCAAAGGTCAGGTCGGCCTGGGCCCGGGGGCTGGGACCTCCGCAGGGGCCCAAGAGACCCCGGTGGGGGGGCGACAGGGCGTTCTCGGCCTCAGCCTGTCATTCCGGGCCGAACCCGGTTGATTCCCGGGCGCACAGCGGCCACGGGCGCCTCCCTCACTCACCGTGAAGCGCTGATCGCCGATGCTGCCCACGGAGAAGCAGTGGTCGCCCGGGTTCACAGCGCCGGTCAGCACCTGGTGCAGGTTCATGTCGGCGCTTCAGTCCAGCAACGGACGCCGCGTCCGGCTCATGCCCAGGGTCAGTGGCCGGTCCCTCCCTCTTTCCCTCAGGGGCGGCGGCCGCTCTTGGGCGGCGACAGCGCCAGGCGCCAGGAGCCGGAGCCCGAGCTGGAGCCGCTCAGCTGGGGCCCGCAGCACATCCCGAGTCCACCGGGCGAGGCCCGGGGGGGGCGGGTCCGGGAGCCGGCAGGCGCCGCACTAGTCAGCGCACCTGTCACAGACCTCACGGGCCCAGGTGAAGCGCGAGTCGACTCAGCAGCCAAGACTTGGAGCCGACTCGCCGGCCAGGAGGGCTGCGCCGTCTACTCACTTCCTCTGGGCTCCGGGAACCTAGCTCTGACCAAGCCTGAGTGGCGCAGGCGGCACGCGACCGCGCTCCGCGCCTGACCTGTCCCTCCCGGCGCCGGTGCCCGCCAGCCCCCACTGGCTTCCGCGGCTCACAGCGCGTCTTTAAGTCCCTGTCGAACTATCGCGAGATTTCAGGAGGCGAAGCGCAGGCTGCGGTAAAGGATTCACTCTTCACCACAGTCTGCAGGTCCGCAAGTAGGGATGAAAAGGCCTCTTCGCGACTCGTCAGAAGCCATCCAATCCCGAGCTCCAATGCAAGGAGGCTCCGCCCACCACTGAGGACTAGCCAATCGCTTGGAAGCTTATGAGTGACTCGTCCTCGGATTGTCCACCGTAAAGGCTTAGTGGAGAAAGCACCGGAAGTCTAGTCTGAGGAGAGTTTTCAAGCTGTGCTTTAGGCTGCGACTTAGGCTGACCGTCGGGCCAGAAAGTTTCAAAAAGGAGCAATGCTTTATAAATAGAGTTGCAGTAGCCATGGTTCTGGTAGAGACTACAAGTCCCAACAAGCACCACTTCCCCGGCGACCCGTGAGTACTTAGAGCAAGTGTGAGACGTCCCTGTCCAGTCGAAAAGGTTTAACCAGTCTCACGCGGATTTCTAACTCGCTAAACAGGATACTTCGGGAAGGTTTAAAACCCTTGGCAAATACTAAATGAAATATTAACCCGGGTTTACGTAACATACGTTTTGAAGTAGTCTTGGTAGTCATACTGCTCCAGCCAGCCTTTCCTTCAGCCTTTCGAGAAGCATAAGGATTGTAAACTCAGTGTCACTAAAGGGCGAGATTCAACTCTCATTGTCTTTCCCCACCATTTTTGTGTTGTTATTAAGCATATATTTTATCTCGTAGGTAATGTATAAGTCCTTTAGGAACAAATTGTGTTCTGTTTATCCCTGTGTCCCAAGTGTTTAGCTCAGTGTCAGTTCCAATGTAGGTGTTCATAAAGGTGAAAACGACTTTAAATAGGAACTCTCCGTTTATAGATTAGGTTTTTTAATTAATAAATTGATTTCTTGTGTATTTTGGTGGTTAAAAATCAATTTCAAATTAATATTTAAATGGGGAGGCTTACTAGTAAATTTAACTGTTTTTTGCTTTCCCGAATTTTTTTGCAACTTGTATTTACTTTGGCCATTCCCTTGACATTGTCATTTCTGCAGCTCTGCATATCATCTACTAGTTTTTTAGGTTACTTCACTTTTGACATGAACGACCTGAGATTGAATCCTAGTTTAACCACTCAGACAAATTAAGTACTCTATTTCACTATCCTCACCCATAAAGTGGGGACAGTAGTTTTTTCACGCCCTAATGTCATTTAACCTCCCCTTAACAAAACTATTTAACCCCAAATGTAGGTCTGACTTCTCAAAGAATTTGAGCTTAATTTGACCTTATGGCAAATTTAGTAAAGAAAGACATAAAGGTAAAGTATAGGAATATTTTTATTTAATTATCAGGAGGATTAAAAGAGAACAGTGTTAGGTAGATATTGGGGTTCAGATAGTGATGAAAATTAATGTGTGGAATACTTGGGTCCCTCAGACAAAGAATTAAGAAGATTTTCCCAATCACCAGCACACAGTATGTTTATTAAGGGAAAAGAAAAAGAAATGCCTGCATAGACATAGTGGGCAGGAACACTGTGTTTTGACAAAACAAGAGATATTTTTATAGTGTGCTTTGATGAAATTATTGTGAGTTTATATCCATCAGATCAGATTGGATTGGTATTCTATGACTGATTATCCTTACCACGCCCACTTCTGGTTGATAATCTTTTGTATCACCTAAGATTTCTGGAAATTTCCATAACCTCGTTGAGATTCATTAGTTATCTCTCTCCATACCTCTGGTGTCTGTCCTGGTGAGTCTTTCTATCCTAAATTTGTCTGCTCTCAGCTTCCATCATTATGCATTCAGAGTTCAACAGATGTTAGCTATGATTACTGCTACTGTTACTATTACTCTCATAAATAACCTTTTGATGTATACTATAAAGTTTTCCAAATTGTGTGAAACCTCGGTCCAAATCAAACTTTCTAGGGAAAGTTTGAGACTGCCACAAGTGTTCTAATGTTATTACAGGGCAGGGTGAGAGCCACCAAATCTTCATGCCTGAAATAAGTTCTGCCATCCACCACATCAAGACAAAACGTACTCGAGTGTATAAGGCCTTCAATATAAATATTTAACATTTAATGTAATTAGTGTGCAACAGACAGAAGAGGAAATATAGTTAAAGTAGTTTCCAGTCAAATGCTCAAATTAACCCTTCGCCTTGAGGGAAAACGCCCAGCCAAATAGGGTTGGTCCAAAGCAAGACAGCTGAGGCTCAAAAGTTTGCCACAAATCTAATGCATCTTCTGCTGGGGACCCAGAGAAAGGGACCGAAGTCTGGGGGGGAAAAGCAAAATTAAAAGCCCAGTCAGGATAAAGGCTGCCATTGTGTGTGTGTGTGTGTGTGTGTCTCATAGGTCACTCATAAAGTTACATACCTCCCTTTAAGATTTATTTGCAATGAGCACTTTTTCCTTTTTTTTTTTTCTTTTTCTTTCGTTTCTTTAGGTTTTTATCTAGGAAACAAAACAGGAAGGATGGTTAAAAAAAAAGGAAGTCATTTTTATTTTTTAAATTAATTTCTGTTTACTTTGCATTATTACTAACAGCAAAATCTCTTAGAAAACCCCAGTAATGTGAATTTCTGGTACTGACAGGCCAACAGAAGCCATGTTCTCTTTAATGTTAGTCTTAAAAGGGAAAGCAGACTGGTATACAGTTCACTAAGTGGTAATAGTGTAAAGAAAAGCAAACCGCCAAGCTTTTAGATCTTGGGGCTGGGAAGGAGGAGGGGAAAAGAAGGTTATAGGAAGTCAGCTGAGATTGAGAAGGAACCATATCTATTCTCACTGATTTGCTGAAATCTCTGTTTTTATCCAGTTTCTTGCCATCCTTATCCTAAACACATTCATATAAGTCCCTATGCTTGACCCTCCCTGGTAGCCAGCAGGTTAAAGCACAGCACTATGAAGCTCTCCAGCCATTAAAGCACTGGTTCGATCCCCTCCAGGGAGGTAGGGAGGTGACCCACAAGGTGTGGCAGACCTCTCCTAACCCGCCCTGCTCAGCAGTTTATTTTGTGGATCTGCCTGTTCTGCTCCCTACTCTGTCTTTGATGAATCCTCTCACCCCTCCCATGCATCTGTGACCTATACCCCAGTTTTGTATGCATAAATAAAATCTTGAAAAAAGAAAAAAATCCCTATGCTCCCAGGGCCTGTAGCCAACAACAGGGAGCCATCTCCATCTGAGCTTCAGTCCTCACTACCAAAGCTCAGTAGATAAGGAAGGTTGGGAGTAAAGGGAGTCAGCTTATCCCATAACTAAGAATGAATCAATGAAAGTGTGTTGCTTGAATTTCACCCAAGCATTATAAACCCATCAGCTCATAAAAATAGTATGATGGTCTGTGTATAACTAAAGACATGGATGCCCCTGAAATGTGCCTGTGCTGCCAGCACCACCTTACCTATATATTAGGCACTTTATAGATTGACCCTAGACATCATTTATAGTATTGTTGCTATAGTAAAATTAATTCCAGCACTCCTAAAAGTTGGAGGTTCTAAGTATGCTTGGGTTATACTCCCTCAGCTGTTTGATTCTTTATCCTTAAGCAAAGGCAGTTATTAAACACCTCTACATCATGGGTATTTTATTTATCTCATTTAAATCTCAACACTACTAGCGTTGCAACTCTATTTCACAAATACTAGAAAACCTAATGAGATTAGATAACTTGCCCAAGGTTGTATTAGATCTGGTTATATCACCACCCACGGATTTCAGCTCACTTCTCTTGAGCTGTAGAGATCCTGTAAATGTTTCTCAAAGATTCTTGAATCTCAGGGTGAATAAAACCATAACTTACCATCTATCTGGCAAGATCAGAAGAAATAGGGGAAATGAGTTGACTTCTCAAAGTTAAGTATTCTGTGAATCTGGTAGAAAGAACTATCTTCCTAAAATAGTTTTTTCCACTCCTTTTTCTAGGTAAAAGGAAAGCTTACCTCCTTACTGTTATCCATGCCAAACTGTCAAGTCCAGTCTTTGTGGAAAGGTGAAGTCATATCCCTGACCAAAAAATCCCTGATCCTCAGCCAGTTAGTAGATTTTCACTTGGTTAAAGCAAATACTTTTAAGAAAATCATAGAACTATGATATAATCAAACATGTCACAGAGGCTTAAAGTACACTGTGTCTTGCTTATGCCCATTTGATTTTTGTTAGGGGGATACAGAAATCAGGTAATGTGATTTTAACAGGAAAGGAGAAATTATATAGAAGACAGTAGCAGGGAGTTAAGTCAGGAGCACCTCCACTTGAGGGTAATGGGATCTGGGACAGGAATGAAATCTCCCAATCAAATTTCCAGTAAATTAGTTGTAGCTTTTTATTTCAGAATTTTCTGACAAAAGACCTAGAATGGCCATAGCAATATTAAAGGAGAACAAAGTTGGAGAATTCACACTCCCTGGGTTGAAGACTTACTATAAAACTACACTTATCAAGACAGTGTGGAGTTGGCAAAGGAATAGACATAGATCAATGGAACAGAATT